CACATGGCACAGAGACGTATCAAAGCAGCGCTTCCCTCCCCTGCTGACCCCGTGTCATCTTGTCAGGAGAATTCCTCCCGTGTGACACGCAGGCATCTCAGAGCTTCCCCGGAGAGAGGGGCTCTCCAAAATCTCACAAGAGCAGCCCTCTAGTAGTGGAAACCTCTGCAAGTGCAGAGGGGACAACCACGAAGCCAAACCTGATGGCAAAAGACTCGAGGTCTGGGCATCTCTGCGGGTTAATTCCCTTCTGCACCAGACCAGAACCTCCAGGTGCTGGAGACCACAGGATCATGGGATTATCCAGCTTGGGAGGGAGCTCAGGAGGTCACCCAGCCCCACACTCTGGTGCTCAGGTCAGAGCAAGTAGCTCAAGGCTGTACCCAGCCTGGTTCCAATACTGGCTTCAATACCCTGGAACACATTTTCCAGGGAAGCCGTGGCTGCCCCATCCCTGCCAGTGCCCAAGGCCAGGTTGGATAAACCTGGGCTTGTGGAAGATGCCCCTGCACATGGCAGGGGGGGGAACTGGATGGTCTTTAAGGTCCTTCCAACCCAAGCCATTCCATGACCCCTTTGCCCTGTCACCCCTTTGCACCTTTTACAAAAAAACCCACCGAGTTCATTCAGCAACAGCAAATCAGGAATTTTGCATACCGACCATCTATTAACCAAACTATTCGTTAAATGGTTTTTGATTAGCAACTTAAAGACTATTAAATTTTTAAACAAAGCCCCATCATTCCATTAGCAATCATTTAAAGTGCTTAAGTAGGTGTTTGTGGATTAATGGTTTTAAATGAAGCCTCTAAACACGATTTCCAGCCGGGATGGAGCGGAGCAAAAAAAAAAAAAACAAACAAAAACAAAAACAAAAAAAAACCCAAAAGATCCAAGTTTCTAAATGCCAGTAAAAAAATATCAGAGTTTTCTCATCTGAGAAGAAGATGATACCTTACAATTCATGGAACACGCCAACACGTGATTCACCTCATCCCCACCACAGCTACTGCTTCATTTCACAACACGAGAGAAAAGACGTCAAACAACCCTAATCTGAGTTAACACCATTTCCACGCCGTCCCCACAATTAAGGTCAGAACTTGTCAGGGCTCAGGACACCACATTTTTTTTTCTGTGTGATGTTTGATGATGAGGGCAGCACCACACCTGTGGATTTAAGTGTGTCTTCAGTACCACCTCATCTTCCCACTGGGATGGGGAAACCAGAACATCCCTGGAATCAGAGGTGAGGGGTCTCACTGCTCACAGGAGTTTCCCTGAGGAATCACATCACTCAGAACCAAGGCTCCTGTGAGATGTCAAGCAAGTTTAATGGCATTTTAAAAGGAGCAGATGACTTCAAAGTCTGCCCTCAATCTTGACACCCTAAAAGCAGAGAGACAACGATCCCTGTGGTCAAAGCTGAGAGGTTCATTCCAGGTGGAGAAGGGAATCTCCCTCCGTGCTCCAAAAGAAACGAGGGGATGTTACAGGATTGCCACGTGAATTTTGGAGCTCTTTGGTCCATCCACACCTCCCTCTCAAGGAAGAGCAGGGGATGGATTAGCACCTCCTGGAATCCCCATGCAGTGAAAGCTGAACTGTGAGAGGGATGAACACCCCGAGACAAACTCCTCACTGCCCTCAGTGCCAATTCAGGAAGGAAACCTCCTTCTCCCGGCTCCTCCTGATCCATTTACACACTTCTGGCCTTCTTAACCTCAGGTATTCAGAAGAGGGACATTTTAGAAGGAAAAAAAAAAAAAAAAAGGCAAAAAAAAATCCATGTGCCACTACTGCAGTTCACTTTTGGGATCCCATTTACAGGTCTCTCTGCATATTGGCACCTCCAGGAGCTGAGTCCTGCACACACAGGGAAGGCTCATTCCCATTTTCCCCGTTTTCCTGGTCTCTTGTTTGAAAAGGAAGCGAAAATTTCCAATTCATGAAAAAGCACTGAGAGGTGAGAAGATGTGCTCTGCTAATTCTAAAGCCCTGCTTCTCATTATTCCCAAATATTGTGACTGCAGGCTTGGATCCATCACGCAGACTTTGATGGGGTAAATAATGAAAGAACACACAAGCCTCTAATTTTACACTGCCTTCAATTCCCATTTCCAAAGCCAGCTAGAAAACAGGAATAGAAACTAAACCAGTGAAAGAGAAACACGCCCTTCTCCATTTCTAACTTGGAGAACCTAAGCATTAAAATAAATAAATAAATAAATAAATAAATAATTCAAAATAAACTCTTACACAGCTTTATATTTGCTCAGATAAGCATTTTCAACTTCTAGGTACAGGGCACTGGGGTCAATGTAGGACATGCCTTGGAGGACAAAACGTTTTAATGATTTGCAACCAACGAGCAGCCCCCCCAGCAGGAAAAATAACCAAGCACCCAATTGCAAAACAATATTTTAATTGTCAGCTTTAATTCAGGTTTCCTACTCGGATTTAAATAATTTTTTTTTCTTTTTTTTTTTTGCCCAAATTGCATCGATTGAACTCAATCAGCCCTGCCCGAAGGCCATCTTTCCTGCAAGCTCTGAGCATACCAAGCAAGTTTTAGCCAATTAGATAAATCACTGAATCTCATAACTTCTTAACAGCAATATATCAAGCCACGCACGAGCCATAATTAATTAATTTTTTTTAAATACATATCGTCTTGAAAACTTCGCGAAAATTAAGCAGCCCAGGAGGCATTTCACCATCCTTTATGTTGGGAATTTTTTTATTTACTTATTTATTTTTAACCTAAGGCACATGATGGCCTGAAACCCAGCCAGCAGAAGACTTGCATGGTCACTGCAAATCCACCCCTGTTTATTATTCCTTCTGATGATGGGGATGACACTGATGCACCAGTTTTATTCATTTATGTTTGTGTGTATATATATATATATATGTGTGTGTGTGTGTGTACACCCACACCCACACACTGCAGCCTTAAGGTGTTACACTCATAAGCACAGTTAAGGAAAACCAGGCAGCAGTATTATGGACTCAGCAGGAACAGCAAAATCCTGGAAAAATGGAAGTTTCTAGCACAAACAGCTTCGCAGGGACCCCCTCAGCACAGTCCCCATCACCACCAGTGGAAATACACTCTTCTCTGACACTACACAGATTGTTGAAAGATTCCCATGACAGGCAGAGGATTAAAAAGCAATTCCCCGGCTCTCGCATTTCACATGCAAAGCCCTATTTCAGAAACGGCAGGCAGGAAAATATGGATCTCCCTCCGAACTCAAA